TGATACTAGTAACATGGAATATAAACTATATTCCATACACTGTTATTTCAAATGCATAAATGGTTTTGAGGTATTATATAATCGAACTAAGTTAAGCGTGAATTTTGATTGTGTCTGATCTCTTTTTGCAGCATTCATGATAAATCATATAACTTGGGAGGAGAACGGTATCCAAACTTGCTTAGAGGTCAACGTTAACCTGAAAGTAACTCTTGAGGTATGGCAGTCCCACCTTATACAACACTAAAGAATCGAACATTTTCCATGTGCAATTATATATTAATTATTTTCTCAGTGGTCTAGCAAAGTAGCTGAAATATATTGAGAATGACTCTTAAAATAAATACCCCCCTCCCCTCTCTTTTTAGCATGATAATTCATTTACAATCAAGTTATGGCATTTTGACCTTTATCTTTTGAACAAGAGGTACTTTTGGATTTTTATTTCCTTTTTTGTGGCATTCTCTTTTTTAGCAGCTATTTTGACCTGAATGAGATTTTAGGAATCTACTTTAGGGTACCTCCATGATTTTACGCCATCAGAGTGACCTTGAAATATATTTATTTTACAGTTGTTATTGATTCCATATATGTTTTTCTAGAATTTTCCGAAATCTACTTTGACTATATTATTACTGATTTATGAGTATGAAGTATGCTGGGATATTTCCTTGCAAAGTGTTGCCTCTAATATGAAATATGCCTGCAAGTGTGACATAAATCCTTTGCTACAGCCTTCGCCAATCTTCCCTTGATTAAAACTCATTAATGAGTGTTGTAATTACAGTATTACCTCCGAGTTCTTGATGTTCTTGAAAAAAATATGTTTTACCAATTGCAGATCTATACACAACCATTCAACTTGCTTCCAGTATCGGTGATAGAAAAGCCTGGAAATTTGTAAGTTCATGATCGGGTTGACAATTTAGGTAGCATGTCTATTTGCTGTTACTGCATCTATACTGTTTCCCTAGATGTGAATAGACCCTGAGTGAATCTGTTTTACTCTTAAAAGACCAAAGAAGTTCACTCAGGGGTATGCGCGCCAATAGAACTACAGGAGATTTATCTGCAATTAAGTGAAAATAAATGGCTCAATCTGCAATTAACCCTCATCTTAAAGAAGGCTAACCAAAAAAACTTTATATAAAAGCAATGCTTAATTAGAAGTGACATTTCTGTCTATATAACAGATAACCGCTCATTAACAAGTTTTATGTTGAACAGTTGTCACCATAAAACTCTCACTGTAAACTCCTTTCATGACCATCCAATTAAGCAATTTGAGCAAAATTATGGACCTTAGGGACTTAGTGCTTCTATAAGTATTAAAAATAGTTGCATGTTTCAGAGTTGAGCTAGGCCACATCAACCGTATTCATGATGCCGATATTGTAGATTAAAATTCAAAACTTTGATTTTTCAAATTGCAAACATGTACCATTGGGCATGCTGCACACATGGAATATCTAAAACAAAAAGTCCAAAAGAGTTTGGTTTACTTTTAATAACGTATCAAGAGGACAAAAATTAAATGCATTTTTATGAAAGTTCTAAAGCTTCGATTTAGGTAACACATCATACTAGTTTTTAGATAGTTAATGTATAGAAGATCATATGAAATAGCAAGGATTTTTTTTTGATGGAAAATAGGCATATTGCCCTATCATAAGGATGATATATAACCAAAATTGTGAGATACTTACAAAATAAGATATCTTCTAATGATTAAAACGATATCTCCAAGATGGAGAAAAAATCCTTATCAGTAGAAGATATCTTGGAGATAAGAACAAAAGAAAGCTACCAACAAAGAAAACAAACCGGAAAAACATAGTTTAACTACAAAATCCAATAAAAGCAAAAGCAACAGAGAGACCAAGACGCGGTTCAAGGGATCCCATTGTTGTTAGCACTCGACTCAAGGATATCTACAAGCCCGACGGATCGGATGATTTTCTTCATCTTTAGCGTCTTCTTGGAATTGAAAGCACCTGACCAGAAAAGAAGATAGTAAACTGACTTGTTGATGATTTGCTGAGGAGTGATAATGAGGTTAGAGAAGATGTGATCGTTGCGGGCTTTCCACAGGACCCAACTGATAGTTGGGAAACAGATACCCCATAAGAGGTGAACTGAAGCTTGGATAGATAAGTCAGAACAGATAGATAAGCACTGACCGAGATTGGTAGGGAGGGATCTTATGCCAATCTTAGAGAGGAATGGAGCCTAAATTTGGTTAGCCAGGTGACACGAAAGGAATAGATGATCATGAGATTCTTGTTCACTACAGAAGGAACAACAAGAGTATGGTAGCCAACCTTGAGAGGCTAATATGTCATTGGTCTTTAATCTTTGAGAACATAGGAGCCAGAAGAAGATTTGAACTTTACTAGGCAGCACTTTATTCCAAATGATATAGTTGTGTTGATATCGCAGACCACCATCTGCTAGCATAGAGTGAAGAAACATGACAAAGAATAATATTGAGTCTGATATGGACCATGTTGGACAATCAGATGTTGGAGTAGGATACAAGTTTGAAGCACATAGTAATTGAAGAAGAGCTTGCAATTGACCCCTTTCATCCTCTCCGCGGGGGCACCTGATAATAGGTTTTCATTCACAAATATCCCTTTGAAATTTCCCTTGGGATGCAATGGAAACATGTTTGGAGAAAGCAAGATCATAAACTTTAGGAAAGAGGCTTGCTAGAGAGTTGTCGCCTATCCACTTATCCTCCCAAAAGCAGACCCTAGACCCGTTACCGAGAGACCATTTTACAAAGGCAGGGAAGAATAGGTGACATGAATGAACATCTTTCTAGAATTTGGAGCATTGGTAGTGTGGTGGCGGACTATGTAGGTTGTGCTTGTAGATGGATTGAAGTACCCTACCTACATGGTTGCTGATGTCCAAGAATTTCCAGAGCCATTTGGAGAGGAGGGAAATGTTGAAGAGGTGAAGGTTAGTGACTCCCAAACCTCCACAAGCTTTAGGGGAGCAGACTATCCCCCATCTGTTTGGATGGTTGCCTCTATAGCTTTCAGAAGCCCCTACCCATAGGAAGTTGCATCTGATTTTGCCAGTATCCTTGATGAGCCATGAGGAAAGTTTAAAGAAAGACATGTAGTATAGGGGAATGGAGGAAAGTACTGATTTGAGGAGGATGAGGCGGCCGCCAATAGACAGTCGTTTGATTTTCCATAAGGAGAGTTTACGATGAAGGGAATCCAACAAAGGTTGACAGTCGGATCTGGATAAGGAGCCTTTCTTCAAGGGAAGTCCTAGATATTTGAAAGGAGGGAAAGCAAGAGTGCAGTTGAGGATATTGGTCAGGTGAGGGCCCTTGGTAGCTGATTTACCACTATAGAACATGTTAGATTTAGAGAAGTTTATGGCCAAACCTAAGACATTTTCGAAGAGGTATAGAATTGATTTAAGGGTGGTGATATCAGAGGAAGTGGCTTTGCAGAAAATAATTGTGTCATCTGCAAACTGCAAGGATTTGACGTCATTGAGCATGCCCTTGAGGTGAAGTTCAGAGAGGTCTCCGTGGTCGCAACTGCTGTGAAGCATCCTACATAGGACATCAGCAACCAGGAGGAAAAGCATGGGAGAGAGGGGATCTCCTTGTCTGAGACCTCTATGGCAAAAAAAGGGATTTGATGCAGTGTCGTTAACTATGACAGCTGATTTGGAGGAAAACAAGATGGATTTAATCCGTGATCACCATCTGTGTCCGAAGCCTCTAGCCTTGAGAAGGGACAAGAGGAAATCCCAACTCACACAATCAAAAGCTTTGTTGAAGTCTATTTTGAGGATGCAAGCCTCAATCTTTTTGGAGAAGCATTGGTTGATCATCTCGTGCCCCGGAACTATAGAGTCAATGGTAGACTTGCCACTTTGGATAGCAGTTTGAGTAGGATGGACCAAGGAGGACAGAAAGGGGTTTAGTGAAGATTTTAAACGTGCCATTGAGAAGGCTGGTAGGTCTAAAGTTGTAATATAAAAATCCAAATTTATGAATTTGAATCTATGTCCACATCTTCGAAACAATTCATAGTTGCCAACTTCAACTCAATATGTTGCCCTTTTATTGTCTAGAGTAAGGTAACAATTTATGCACAATGTGAGATGACAATACTATGGATATCATCTTAGGCCCCGTTTGTTAAAGGGTCAAGGAAGATGGATTAAGGAGAAGGATTAACACAATTAACCTACTTCATAATCCGAATGACTAAATTATTAACTCATTATAGAAGTTTTATTTAGCCATTGTGATCATTTTTAGTATTTGGGAATAATAAGGATTTTGACTATTTTCTTTATAATTAGAAGGGTTAACTCTCAATCCTTCTAAATAGGAGTACTAGCAAACCCTTTATTTTGATGGGTTAACTAATTTTAATCCCTCTAGAGGGGTTAGCTTAACTCTTCTATATTATTTATGTTTGGCAAATTATGAAGAGTTAACTCACTTTAACTCTTGTATAGATTTTTTGTGTTTGGCGGGTTAAGAAAGGGTTAAATCTCATTAACCCCTCACTTAACCCTTTGTCAAACGGTACCTTAAAGACTTTGATACTACTTGACATAGGAAGGTAAGTCTGCTTTATGATTATGAGAGACTGAGAACGGGGCTGTACTCTGATGTTAACAGGGTGATGCAAGGTCTCACCGACAAGCTTGTATCTTTGCTCATTGAGCAATTGCTCAAGGACTACGGTGCGTGGGTCGAAAAACAATCCAACCTCTCTTCTAAACCTTGATGTACTTTGTTATTTATTTTTGTATTCCCTTTTCCAGTTTTTAGTTGACAAATTTCAGCAATTACATGATTTCTTGTATCTGCTTAATAAAACTATGTTTTCGGTCACTCCATAATCGTGTCCAATTAGGCGATCAAGCTGATGAGAAATGTTGCTTCTAGCCCTAACTCATAAGAATCTTTGATGTTTAACAAAGAGCACTTATTATTATTTCCATCGCGTATGAAATCATGAGGGGCTGTTTATATGTCATAGAGATGAGTATCAAGAGGGATAAGACGTGGGTATGATGAAAGATTTCCTATAGCAATCTCCGATAACTCTAATAAACTCAGGAAATGAAAATAAGAAGGGACAAATTTTCAAAACCAACCCATTTGATAAACTATTCCCAAAAAAAGACTCATTTCAGTTTTATTTGCAAAAACCGACCTGGTTTCAGCCTCAGCACTGAAACCAGGTCGGTTTTTGAAAAAAAGTTTCCGAAACTCCACGGGAGTTCAACTCCCGTGAAGTTTTGTTATGAGAAAAAACTTCACGGGAGTTGAACTCCCGTGAAGTTTCGTAAAGTTTTTTAGAAAAACCGACCTGGTTTCAGCGACAGTGCTGAAACCAGGTCGGTTTCTCTAAATAAATCTGAAACGGGTCGTTTTTTGCAATTAGTTTATCAAATGGGTTGGTTTTGAAAATTTGTCCAAATAAGAAGAGAGGGAAAAACAAAACTTCATGGTTATGTGTGGTCTATTTAGAGTAAAAAAATATCATGATATAGTTTATAGAAAGACTTCTAAGAACTTTAAAGCAAACATGAAATTTTTGGTGTTGTGGAGGCAGCAGCTCAGGAAAGGAATTTTCAGTAGAGAATTTCATCATCAGATCAGTAAGGAATTTTCTTCCAGAAAATAAAGGGATCCTCAGTTTGTTGTTTCCAGCAATGGCCAGAGAAACTGCAATTCCTAATAAACAAACGTACTCACTCAATTTGTGCAAAAAAAGAAAGAATTTACCTCTCAATGACATAAAGGTCTTTAGCATATGGAAACATATCATCATCGGATCAACAATTCCATGGCTTTATTACGTTTGGGAACTTCCATAAGCAAAACAGTATCCAGCGATGAGAGCAGGTTTTATTAGAACAACCCCATTACAATATGTTGAGAAGTAACATTTTAAGTAACTTTTCACTCGATAGGAGCTTTAATTCCAGGAAGCAAGAAGTATTCATTCCAAGGAATACCACGAGTCACCGAAAGTGGCCCAAGTATACCCATATTCCTCATATATATATATGGAAATGTTTTCCTAAGGTGACACATTAGATTCCCACCTAAGGACGCGGCCTAAAATCACATCATTCCCTAATTTGTTTTTGTGATCCGCTCCGTTGAACTTGATCTACACGTCCTTAAACCTAAACACACCAATTTTGGGGTGAACCCGTCGTGTTTTGACCCTTCATCCACTCACCGTAATTTTAACGGTTTCGAATGAATAAAACTTTTTGCACGACTCAACGAAGGGTTAAAACACGACGGGTTCAAAATTGGTGTGTTTGGATTTAAGAACGTGTAGATCAAGTTCAACAGAGCGGATCACAAAAAAAAATTAGGGAATGATATGATTTTAGACCGCGTCCTTAGGTGGGAATCTAAGATGTCACCTTAGGAAAACATTACCCATATATATATATATATTATATATATATATGAAAAGTGTTCCTAATGTGACGTCTTAGATAACCATCTAAGGACACGGCCTAAAATCACATGATTGAGCTACATTATGGATGATCTGTTCCGTTGAACTTGATCTATATATTCTAAAACCCCAACACACCAAGTTTGGTATGAAACCATAATCATTTGACCATCCGTCGAGCCATGTGAAAAGTTCTATTCATTCGAAACCGTTAAAATTGATACGAGTGGATATGTGAAAAGTTCTATTCATTCGAAACCGTTAAAATTGATACGAGTGGATGAATGGTCAAACGACGACGGATTCACCCCAAACTTGGTGTGTGATGAATGGTCAAACGACGACGGATTCACCCCAAACTTGGTGTGTTGGGGTTTTAGAATATGTAGATCAAATTTAACGGAGTGGATCATCCACAATATAGTTCAATCATATGATTTTAGGTTGCGTCCTTAAATGATTATGTAAGGCGTCACCTTAGGAACACAAAATGGTCTAGCCGAATCATTTATTAAACAACTTCAATTAATTGCAAGGCCATTGTTAATGAGGTCTAAACTTCCTCTATCTGCTTGGGGACATGCTATATTACATGCAATAACACTTGTAAGAATTATGCCAACAAGTTATCATATTTATTCTCCCTTACAATTAGTTCTTGGCCACGAGCCCAATATTTCTTATTTAAGAAATTTTGGTTGTGCGGTATATATTCCTATTGCACCGCCTCAACGTACTAAAATGGGCCCTCAAAGAAGATTGGGGATATATGTCGGGTATGAATCACATTCTATAAATAAATATATTGAACCATTAATATGTGATTTATTTACTGCAAGATTTGCAGATTATCATTTTGATGAATCACATTTCCCGACATTAGGGGGAGATAAAGATCAACCGAAAAAGGAAATTACTAGGAAAATATCATTAGACTTTCTTGATCCTCGTACAAAAGAATGTGAACTGGAAGTTCAAAGGATTATACATTTACAGAAAATTACAAATCAATTATCGGATGCTTTTAGTGATTCTAGAAGAAATACTAAATCGCATATTCCAACAGAAAATGCTCCGATTAAAATTGATATCCCAGAAGGACAAATTAAAAGTGCTAATGAATCTAAAGCACGCCTGAAGCGTGGGTAGACCTCTTGGTTCCAAAGATAAGAATCCTCGAAAGAAAAGAGGATTGAATGATCAAAATATTACTAATAACAAAATTCAACCTCCTGAAGAGGTCTCTCCTAAAAAGCCAACTCCTGAAGAGAATGAAACTATAGAAAATTTAATAAATTTTGTCATTACGGGAAAGAGTTGGAACCGAAGAGAAGTAATTGTCGATAATGCATTTGCATATAATGTAGCACTTGATATTATGGAAGAAGACGAGGATAATGAACCCAGATCAGTTGATGAATGTCAGTGAAGAAATGATTGGTCAAAATAGAAAGATGCGATCCAATCTGAATTAGATTCACTGGCTAAACGAAAAGCTTTTGGATCTGTAGTCCAAACACCTGAAGATGTAAAACCAGTAGGATATAAATGGGTATTTGTGAGGGAAAAAAAATGAGAAAAATAAAATTGTAAGATATAAAGCAAGACTTGTAGCCCAATGATTTTCACAAAGATCGGGATTTGATTATGATGAGACATATTCTCCAGTAAAGGATGGAATTATATTTAGATATCTTGTGTGTTTAGCAGTACATGAAAAACTTGATATGCGTCTGATGGACGTAGTTACTGCTTATTTATATGGAACATTAGATAATGATATCTGTATGAAAACCCCTGAAGGATTTAGCATGCCTGTAGCATGTAAATCAAATCCTAGAGAAATGTATTCCATTAAGTTGCAAAGAACTTTGTATGGACTCAAGCAATCTGGAAGAATATGGTATAACCGCCTTAGTGAATGTTTAGTCAAAGAAGATTATATAAATGACCCTATATGTCCATGCGTTTTCATAAAAAGGAATGAGTCAAATTTTATGATCATTATTGTATACGTTGATGACCTTAATCTGATTGGAACCCTTGAAGAGCTCCAAAAGGCGATTGAATATTTGAAGAAAGAATTTAAGATCAAAGATTTTGGGAAAACCAATTTTTGCCTTGGTTTACAAATTGAGCTTTTAGAAAATGAGATTTTTGTACTGCTTATACCGAGAAGGTGTTAAAGCGGTTCTACATGGATAAAGCACATCCATTAAGTACCCCAATGGTTGTCAAGTCACTTGATCCTGCTAAGGATTCTTTTAGACCAAAAGAGGAAGATGAAGAGATTCTTGGTCCTGAAGTATCACATCTCAGTGCAATAGGTGCACTAATGTATCTTGCTAATTGTACAAGACCAGATATATTATTTTCTGTGAATTTATTAGCAAGATTTAGTTCATCTCCTACAAAACAACATTGAAACGGTATAAAGCATATTTTTCGCTATCTCCAAGGAATAATTGATCTTGAATTATTTTAATTCTTATAATTCTCAACCTGGATTGCTTGGATATGTTGATGCTTGGTATTTATCTGGCCCGCATAAAATAAGGTCTCAAACTGGTTATTTATTTACATGTGGTGATACCACTATTTCATGGCGATCTACGAAGCAATCAATTAATGTCACTTCTTCAAATCATGCTAAAATAATAGCAATTCATGAAGCTAGTTGAGAATGTATTTGGCTAAGATCAATGATCCACTATATCTGAAAGAATAGTGGATTGTCTCCTGAAAATAAAAATCCTCCGACTATTTTGTTTAAAGACAATGCAGCTTGTATAGCTCAATTAAAAGGAGGATACATTAAAGGAGATAGAACGAAACACATTTCACCAAAATTCTTCTTTACACATGATTTGCAAAAGAATGGTGAGATCGTTGTGCAAAAAATTCGATCGAGTGATAATCTGGCAGATTTATTCATCAAGGCATTGCCGACTGCAATTTTTGAGAAATTGGTAAAAAATATTGGAATGCGTCGGTTGAAAGATCTCAAATGATATTTGAATCAGGGGAAGAAACTAATGCACAAGAATAGTGTACTCTTTTTCCTTCACTAGGATTTTTTCCCACTGAGTTTTTTCCTAGTATGGTTTTAACGAGGCATATTCTTTGTGTAATATTGGACATCCAAGGGGGAGTGTTATGAAACAATTAAATGATGTGGATGTCCATTTAGTTTCCCAAAGAGATTGATACATGTATTACCTCTTGATATTCTCTATAAGTAATTAATATGATTCATATATCATCATCTTAGTTTGTATATAAATAGAGGTATTCCTACCTCACTTTGTAATGAGAAATTAAGGAAATAATATTCTTTCTACTTCTTGTCTACTTTCTCTATTCTACTTTATTAGTTTTATAACATCCCAATATTTATTGCAGCCAATTTTATCGTAGCTATTTTAATGAAATGAGA